GAGATGTTTTATTTTTATTTTTTAATTAAGTTAACAGAGTTATTATCTTGTAAACTAAGAAAAGAAAATTTAAATTACTACCAAAAATATATTATATTATTTAATTAATTTATTTTGTAATCGAGTTTTATTGTAATTAGGTGGTTAGGGTAATTTGAAAGTAAAATAACAAATCAAACCAATTATGCCGTTTTAAAATTTTATAATTCAAATCAATATAATCCAATTTTATATCATTTTGATTTATTTTTTATTGGATTGATTTAGTTTGGGTCAGATCAATCTGATTGGGTCAAATATGAACACTCCTAACTACTACCAGGCTAATTAAAACTTGATTAGTAGTGTCATCAAGATGATTTTTCATTTTTTCTTAATTTCCATGCATGATATATTCTCAATCTCTTACTCTTTTAGTGTTTACTTAGACGTTAGGATTGAGATTATTATAACGAAAATTATTGTGTAGTTTAAATTGTATTAAATTGTATGAATTATTGATAAGCCCCTTTAATGCTATGATTTTTTTTGTCCAACAGTCTATGTTTTGCAATTCAGTATAATCCAAACAGAATAGGAAACTCTTATTATAAAATCTTAAAAACTAACCTATCCCCATGCTTAAACATATTCACATGTTTTCCAAATCAAAAGTGACACTAAGGAATAATAATGGAGATTGAATACTTGCATTTGATTTGATTTCCATTTCTTCATTTAATATATACAGTTTGTTAACTGTAGTAGTAAGTATCAATAATTGTTCAAAAAAAAAAATCAATAATTTGATAATTTGATAATTTGAGGCACGCATCTAACACGTGGTCAAATAAACTAACTAGGATATTTTTTAAAAAAATAAAGAAATATACAAAATCCTTGAAAACTTGTAGTACTAATGTACTATAACTAACAATATACCTACCTTTCAAAACTGTTTGCTGCCGCTGCCTTTGATATTGGAAAACATAAACGTTCGTTAGCTAGGGAAAATTGATAGTAAGCTTGTTTTGCTTGGCTTTTGGGCAAAAACCAACATTTAGCTCCTTACCTTACAAAGTTGGTAGATTTTAGCTTATCTCATTACAAAATTGGTAGGTTTTAAACTCTCACATTATATTATGACATTTTTAGCCTCTCACTTATACGAATTGAAGAAAATAACTCTCACCTAACATCAAATTATAACGTTCTATTAGTTCTGTTAACTAACTGTTAACATCCGTTAGCATTCAATTATAGAAAATATTAAATTTAAATTCAATTTTATTTGTTAGTTCCATTAACGGAATGCTAACGGAAGTTAACAGTTAATTAACAGAACTAACAGTCAGTTACCATAATTTACAATCAACTAACAGAACTAACAGAACTAACAGAACATTATAACATATTGTTAAGTAAAGGTTATTTTTTTTAATTCATATAGATAAGGGACTAAAAGTGTCATAGTATAAAGTGAAAGGTTAAAACCTATCAACTTTGTAAGGTAAAGGGTTAAAAATGTTATATTATAAGATTATGGACTAAAACCTACTAATTTTGTGAGGTGAGGGACTAAAAGTTGGTTTTAGACTAGCTTTTGAGCAAATGCAATGATCAGCAAGCAAACCGGAGAAGGGCGGTGTGCCTATGTGTACTTTATAGAGGGCAGGTGGGGGCACAAAAGCTTTCCTTGAATTGAAGTTAGGGGCTACCCTCCACTAATGAAAGGGAATTATTGGCACTGGTTGTTGTCCTCCGAATATGTGGAAATATTTACCTTGTCTTTGACACTTTTGTAGTTAATTTGTACTTTATTTGCATTCATACTAACCCTTCTTCTTGAACAAAGAATTGTTGACCCAAAAATTAATCCAAGGGATGACAATATCTGCACATAAAATAGATTAACAATATTGGTAACAAGATGAGGTCAAATAATCTAAAAATACTGAGACTAAATCGACCATTTTATCATACTAGAGGATCAAAATTGCATTTTGTATGTCTGAGAAGGAATCTTCACGCCCAGATTGTCCAAAACAATGGAGGTTAGGACTTAGGAGTATATTAATTTGTTTTACTCGGGAAAGTCAAGGCAGCACTCAATTATAACCAAAACAAAGTCAATACCATAATCCATTCCTTTTGAGTCCTCCGTGACAAATATATGACCCTAAGAAGCAAAAATCATAGAGAATATATATAAAAATGCATCTTCTGATGTAATACTATGCACAACATTATAATCATGTACGGCTTCTAATCATCCTTTCTTGAACAAAAATCATGTCCTTACTCCATCAAAAACAGGAAAAAAAGATGAAAGAATGAACAGATCGAACAAAGGCGTAACCATCGTACGTAGGATTGAGAAAAGCATGAAATTGAGTTCCATATATACTTAATCGAAAAGGTACAAGATAATGACTATGGTATGTAATTATGTATTACTTGAGGTCACTTCATCAGTTCCTTGTCTTACTTTTTTGATCTTGTTCCCCAGATCCGCCCGAAGAGCCGGGGGAAAAAAAGATTCGATCTCCTTGGTCAGATCCAGCAGAATTCTGCGGCGTAGCACTTCTTTCCGTTTTGCAGATGGAAGCGATTTGGGTTTTCTTGGTGCAGGTGGGCACTTCAGCTTTGCTGGGATTCTGTGATCCAAAGCCGTCGGAGTCTTCAACCCCTCACCGTTACCGTCGTTTTGAAGATCTAAAGACGGGGCTTTTATCTCCAACTCCAACAACGGAAGCTTCCGATCATCTCCTTCTGTATATCGAGCCTCTTCAACGTCTTGTGAAGGTGCAGTTTCGCATTTTTGACCGTCTGGAAATTGTAAAGCGGGTCGAACCAAGAGATCAAATTCCATGGCGTTTAGATCTTTCTCGGAGAAAAACACGTCGGAATTAAGCACAGTCATGAACGAAAACCTGTTAAATTCCAAATACATCAAACAGAAAAGTACAAGAACCCTGTTCTAATATTCTTGGATGAATCCTAGGAATAAAACAAAGATTGAAAAACAGAGAAGAGGAGGTCGGAACAGAATTGGAAATGCCTAAAAAAATATCGGCATCCTTTTTGTTCGTCTATTGGATTCTTTGAGGTTCTTTGGAGTTTACTTCGGAAAATGTTTATGAAGAAAAAGAAAAGCAGTGAGAAGCTTTGACATCCCACACTCTGACAGAGGAATCCGATGAAACATATATACACAGACCCACATATATATTTTTTTAAGTGTCTTTTAGAGGTAGACGTCTAGAAGGTGAAAATTTTTTCGCCATTAAATTTCTAAAAATTAACTTAAGTCATTATAAGGTGCATGAGAGCAAGAGATAATATGTGATCCATGCGTAAGGACAAAGGAATATACCAAATCTTTTTAAAGTTATTTTTATAAATATTATTTGATATTATAATTACATTATTTTTAAATAAATTATTATTTTACATAAATTATTAGTAGTCCATTTAATCAACAATTTTGACGCCTTAATTAATATAGTAGTACGTAATATAGTTAATATAACACCATTATTTTCAAAATTTCGACCGTCTTCTCAGGAGTCCAGCATACCATTCCCCCGTTAAATATGGAGAAAAAAAAAGCTCACTTCTATTTGGCATTTTTTTTTTTATTTTTTATGGTATTTTTAATTTTTGTACTGAGAAATGATTTTGGAATAATTTTTTTATATTATTTTTTTATATAATTTAACGTGTCATTTAAATAATTGATTTTTTTATTCATTTGAGATTCATGATATTGAATGCATTAATATATTTAATAATATATAAAAATTATATTAAAAAATAATATAAAAAATTATTCTTATAATATTATTCTTTTTATATTTTTGGTATTTTTGTAAGTAATGGGATGGGAGTGTAACTAGGATTGTGCTATGTGATTGTAACTAGGATTGTGCTATGTGATTGTAACAGAAGTCGTGGGCCCAATTGGATTGCTTGGATTTCAATGCATCATAAATTGTCTATTTTTTAGGAGGGACCCTATGTCTCTTGGCCTTTCGGCTTCCTACTGAATAATTTGTTCCCCAGGCCCCAACTTCTTGTAATTCAACATTTTGCCTCCTCTTAAATGGCCTTCTTTTTGGGGTACTTTTATTTTTATATTTTTGTTGAGAGGCTAATTTTCCTTTTTATTTGAACATTAATATTAAACATTCAACACTTTTTTTTTTCTAGCTTGTGTTTGGCACAAGTTAATAATACAATTATCACACTATTGTCATATTAATTAATATTGAAAATAAAATTGACATTTATTTAAGTAATTGTTAAATTAAAATAATTTATGAAACACTACTATTGATGAAATTAATTATAGTTTTTATATTTTTAATATTAATTAATATGAAAATTTTATAATAATTGCACCCTAAAGGCACGGGTTAAAAAATCTTTTTTTTTCCCTTTTTTTATCTTAAGTTACATCATGATAAATAACCTTTTTTTTTTAATTTCTTAACTCACTTTATATACAAGACATATAATATAAATTTAAGATATTTTTCATTTTACTATTAAGGTATATAGGTTGGTAGCAAACATTCAATACTTTTACCAACCATGAATGTGTATGGTTTACATTAATTTAATTAAACATTAATGTAAATAATGTATTTCAGTGTTCATGGAAAAAAAGTTGATGATAGGGTGGGGCATGTTTAATTAGGTTTAAAAAAAGGGGTTGAACACACACACTCTCATGGCACATAATTGCATCTCTTGCTCAGGCTTAATCATTCTGCTTCCCATCTTTGATAGTTATGTACCACCATCTCAAAAATATTTATGCAAGCAGCCAACGATGAGGTTCTATAAAAATAAATAAATAAATAAAAAGAGGCCTTTGTTCTAGTAGCAGATCGAGTTGAGATTTACTTTGAGTATGTGGGTTTAAATTTTGCTTATGCTAGTTCACTTTTAAGTTTTTCTTGATTGTGTTCGTTGTTTAATCTCATTCATTTTTTTTTTTTTTTAAGAGTGTGTCCAAGTATAAAGTTTGCGTAATGCAGACAGGAATAGTTAAGCACAACACTTAGAAAAAAAAAAATGAAGAAAACCTGCTATTTGTGAAAGTATATCTTAAAATTTTGAAATTGTGGGAACTCACCCTTTAGGTCTTCAACCATGTGTTATTGTTCCTTTTTTTTTTTTTTTACGTGTAATAATATGTTGTTCTTCTACATTAAGGTGTTGTATATGTACATTATACAAAATTGATATAATTTTTTTTTATTTATTTATAATACAATGCTTTGTATGATATAATATATATTTAAATAAGCGAATTTATATTAATTCTTGCATAATTGATAAGTAAAAATAATCAACTAAAAAATGTCACCATCACATTATATTATACATATCATTATGTAAAAAAACATTGTAGGCGAATCATTTCTCTATTTTAAAGGAATGTGAACAATCAGAGAGAAAAAAAAAGAAAAAAGAATGTGAACAGATAGAATACTAATAAGTAATAAAAAGAGAAAAATTGATGGGCCATGATCGTGGAATCTGTAGCTGAATTGGGTCAGGAGAAGTTCCGGATTGGCCCAATCAATCTGCAATTGATTGACTGGTCAATTCTCATCCGGCCCATTTTAAACGGTGTTCCGTAGTTCCAGGCCTCGCGATGGACCCATTATTGATTCAGATTAATTAGAGGGATATTTTGGTACTTTAATCTCCGCGTTGAGGGAGCTTGGTAATCGGATTTTATATCCAACGGTCAAAAGAGCGCAATCCCAACAATATAAACGGGGCTTTCATTTACCGGCTAACTTTTCTGACCGGAGGCTATTGTTCTTC